CAACCCTCACCTATATCCTAGCAAAGTTGCAAAGCCCTTATGCACTGGGGTTTGTCCTTTAACTATGGGTGCATATCTGGGAAGGGGTTGTATTGTATCTTTATTATACAATTTATGGAGTCAGTACTTCATAACGCTTGTGGCTATTTCTGAATTCCATTGCTTTTGGGATTGAGTTTGATTAATAGTTTATGAAGGGTTTTCTTAAACATGAATTAGATGAAAAGTCATATAATGAAACATTAATGATATTTTTATAAGCTTAAATACTTCTCACTTATACATAAAAGTCATTAGATAACACACTGATCTAATTGTAACTTGCTGAATGGTTTAGACTTTAGATTGTGCATATACCTCCCGTTGTTTGTGCAAAGCATATATTCCCATAACTAAATTGGCCTTATGTTCCATCATGTGAGCCGAATGAATCTTTGCCAACCACAAGGATTCATATGACAAGCACCTACATTTTTCTTGTTTTCTTGCAAAATGAACATAGTTGAAGTAAAAAACAAATCATTCATTCTTCCTTTAGAAAATAGGAACAATGTTGGGCAAAGTAACAATTAACAAACATGCAACAAGTATAAACAATCCATGTCCCCCTTTTTTAATTTCTTGAATAGAGATAAAACATCTCTGTTGCACTAGATAGATTTTGCCAACTTACGGAAAATGTGACAAAAACAATGTTTCACGCCTCAATTCCTTTGTTATATATTGCAGCATAGAGACATAATCATTGCCAGTAACACTGTTCTACATCCATATAAAAGTGCATTATTTGTTATGATAATCGGTTCTCTTTTTCTTTCTTCACTTAAAGTTCTTTGTAAAATAGTTATCAAAATAAGATTTTGCCAACTGGATAATGACCTAGTTAGGCTGAGTTCGTTTTTTGTCTTCTTTTTTCTTTTAGCACTAAAAATTCAGTTTCCCGTTTGCCCTTTGGATTCTTAGTATATGGATAATGCCTAGCTTTACTCTGTTTTTTGTATTTTTTGTGAGAGGGGGGACTGACAAGAATAACTTTCTAACTCGACAAAGGAAAATGGCAGCAGTCACAATTGGATAAAAATGCATGTCTTTTGTCAAGATTCAAATGATATCCAAACGCCTAAACTTTGTTTTTATTGAAGGCAATGAAATCATGTATACAGGTACAGCCAGCTTATAGAAGAAGGCACATGCTGTGTAAGTTTACTAAATAATCTGAATACAGTAAACAAAAAAAACAAAAAACAGATAGAAAGAAGGGTGGAGGAAGAAGACGCAGTGACGAGACAGCACTTAATTCTATTGAATAATCTGAACCAATATTTTGATTAACGATAATGTTAAGATGAACCTCTTGAAATAAGCAATATCAATACCAAACTATTTCACAAACAAACGAATACATATATAATGTTCAAGTAGAATAAGTTTTCTTGAAATATGATCACATATACCAGCATATTGTCAGATAGAGGAGTAAGGAACGAAATCTACAGCTGAAATATCCAACATCATTTTACCAGCACCCATCCAAAAGACGGAGTCTACAATTTGATCCAACTGTGTGACATATTTTATTATCATTAGTATTAATAGAATTTTAAAGCCTCCGGAACGGAAGGATCAGAGAGCAAAGCTTGATTAATAGCAGAAAGTGAGTCCCTCTGCTCTTGTAATTGAAGTTCCAGTTGCTTCTCCCTAAGCCTCTCCTCTTCGCTAGTCAGTGCTCCCACACAATAGAACTACTCCCTAACCACGTTTGTTCCGAAACAATTTTGAAGATATTCTTTATTAGTTTGATAAATTTACTAAACAAGACCAGAAAAACCTTAAATATAGACCAAAAAATTATTATTCTATACAATTTATTTGGAACGAAATAATTGTACTTTAATTTTGTATCTCGTCGGGAATATGATTCAAAATAATTTTGTTTGTCGGCCAGATTTTAATTAGAGATGACGTTTGGTAGAGGAGAAAAAAAAATTTATCCGAAAATCTCGATTTTAAAAAATAGGATAAAAATATTCAACTTACGATAATATTTGAAAATTAAAAATTAAAAAAAATTCAGTTTCTTGATAATCTTACAAAATACCTTGTACCAAACTCCTTGTGGAATAAGAACAAGTAAAAGAAGAATCACATGATTTATCCCCTTTTTTCGATAAAAATTAGTTTAGCCGCGTAAAGATCTAAGGAAATGCTTTGAATTTAAAGTATGGTGTAAAACAAAATTCGCATATCCAGATCAAGTAGATATTGTCGCAAGTCTCAACTCCTTAATATTTTCAGCGTCTCGAATGAGTATCACATTCTTGTTGATCATAGCTAGATTATGCATCTTAAAAAAATTAATAATAATCATAATATTCCCAAAGTAATAGTATATTTGAGTTAATAAAACGGGTTAATCCAATCCATCTCACTCCGTATTTACCCCGCCAAAAATGGGACGGAGTAAGTTGACGTGTTATTGCTGAGTGAATTAGAAATATCAATTCACCCAACTTTAAGGTGGATTGACAGTTCAACTGGACTAAAAAATAAAAATGTTGAAAAAAATAATATTAATTCTAATCTCTCATTTCTAATCTCTAACATCTAAATATTTCTCAAGTTTAAAACATGCATCAAACAAATAAGTAAAAGACAAAAGAATGATCTAAGCCAATAATTTCATTTAACTTAACTACAGAAACCATAACTTAAGATTATTTAATAATCTAGTGTAATAATATCAAGCTTGTGAATATTTGCAAATAAACACATAATTCATATTATATTTAGAATTTCATGAGCATCTAGTTTGATTTGTATAGATACTAGCATTTAAATTCAAAAACAAGCTCAAGTCTCCTTTCTTTTTTATGTTAATTTCTTTTTCTGCAAAATCAGAAGTCAAAAAAAAAAAATTCCCAATGAAATAATAGCATTACACCCTAAAAGAAATGATTTTATCTTACATAATAGTCATTTACATAAACCAACTAAATCGTCATCTAACATTTAATAATTTTTTAAATAAATAACCCCTGCAAGTTGACTTGCTTGTCCCGTCTCTATTCTCTAACCCGTTTATATGCCTAAAAGGTTATGGTGAGTTGGCGGATTGAAATACACAACCCAACCTATCTCATTTTGACGGATTAATGGGTTGACCCGTTGGGTTCAAACCCCTTCATCAATTCTATATTCGATTCACTTAGGCTTCAAATTTCTTTGTGGGACAGGCTTATCGGCCCACTAAGTTGCCTCTGTCGGATGGAACATGTTTGTTGACCACAAATCTCTTGGCCAGCATCAACTCCTTCCTTCATAGTTCACACTTAATTCCCACTTGCCCTCACCCCTAATTTGAGGGGTAAGACAAGAGTCGAGGAAACGAGACACAAAGTTGTTCCGCCTTTGAGAATAAAATACCCGCAATTAAGAGGCAGTCCAAGTCTGAACACATCCAGTTAAGAAATTAAGATACCTACTCTACCCTCTAATCACAATCCATGGTATTTCAGAACATGTATTCCCATCACCAAATCCATTATTGGAAATCTGAATACAAAGAATGAATCAACGATGGAGCGGTTGACATCTACCAGCATTGTACCATCTAATAATGGTTGCATAAAAAGCCTAGTCATAAAGAAATCAATATTGCAATCATCTAAGAGAGCTTCATATACAAATAGTAGTGGGCATACAATCACAGAGCATTAAAAAAAAAAAAAAAAAAAAAGGAATATGATAGACATCACACGGTTATTGTTTCTTTTGTGGCTGGAATATTACAGAATTATTCTCGGCTGATAGAAACAGCAACTGGCGAACAATTTAACAATCCAAGGAAAAGCATCAATAAGTCATGCTTCACAAATTTTCTCCAACAAGTTGTATGGCAACTAATGATCGCATTCCTATGGTGTTGATCGATCCTCACAAAAGGGAAATTTTGCGTGTGATTGCTAGACAAGGCAATAAGTGGCACCAAGGTGGGAATGCAGAAATGGTTTGGCTGCAACATGTAAAGTGGATACAGGCCTTAATCAAGATTGCAGGCCAATGTAAGGGGTCACTTCAAACGCAGAGTGCGCGTTTGGTTAAGTTGGCGTTAGTTGCCGCTTTTGACTTTTCAGAAATCTCTTCCATTTCATTTTATTATTTTGCTATTGAATGAAAACAAAAACTTGAACAAACGTACCATCCCTGCGGTTTCTAGAAGAGCCACGTTCATTACAGTGAGTGGGGCAGGAAAATTCAAGGAAACCAAAATTTCTTACAAGACAAAAACCATCTCTCAACACAGCACCTTCCTCTCTTTTTAAGATTTTCGGATCAGCAATCAAAGACAAGCCACAAGTCTAAGCAGAAGAGAAAGCAAGTAAGGTTTTCATCATTCAAACTTGCTAACATCGCATTTCACTGAAGTTAGGTTCGTCTGTTAAAAAGTTAATTCCCTCTCAGCTTGACAAAGCCATGAATCATGGAATTGAGATGGATTGATACCTTTCTTTCACAATAGAATTTACAGACATTTCAAATCATAATTCGAAGGAAGAAAGACATCACAAAAGAAAAAGGAAACCATTTCTCTACACCTAATCATTCACACCAAAGATCTAAATAACCCACCCAACCAAACAGTTTGAGTGCTATAGGAGGCAAAATGATAGTTCTTTTACTGTTAACAATTGCTCCCAAAATAAGAAAAGATTGGAAGAAATGATCACCGTCTACATCATTTACCAAACAAAGTTACTTTGAAAAGCTCTCGCGGTTAGACTTGGCCATAAAGGTAATAAAAAAAAAAATCAAAACTAAAATAAAACCATATGATATCCGAAAAGCTATGTCTCTCCCTTATCATCTAGATCTAGCCATTTACACACAGAATCAATTAAACTCAATACGGTGCAAAAAAAGAGAGCCAAATCAGAAATAGAAACCAATTTTCTAAAAGTAAAAGAGAACTGGCACATGGAGAACAACTAAATCTAACTTCGTTAGAGTAGTAACACTGAATTCCTTGACTAGTATTATACATACATACATACAGAGAGGGAGCAATGCAAAACCCACATTGGATACCCACAACAAACAGATCATAATTACTTTCCCTTTTTTTGTTTTCATATTCCGAGAAAATTAAAATAAAAAAAGGAAAAAGAAAACACCATGGTCCATCACACTCTCACAGAATTAAGATCGTATTACCATAATCTTATATCTGATCATTCATGTTCATTTTTCAATTTTTTTTTTTACCGCAAAAATTAACAAAAATTGAAGTGGAGGAAAAGAAAGATTAAAAATTTTAAAAATTATTTCTTTGACGAACAATCAAAGGCAGAGTGCCAGGTCAGCATCATCCAACGGCGGTGCATTTAGATCGAAAGTGAACGGCGGACGAAACGACGACGAAGCGATGTTGTAACCGTCACCGTCACCGTCGTCGACCACCGACGAGGAGGAATCGCAGTCGCTGTGGCAGTCTTCGGGAACGACAGGGGGAGTTCGGGGATATCTGCGGTTGATCGTCAACAACGGCTTCACGGCGGCTGAGGAGGGAGGGCGGGGGCCACTGAAAGATTCAACGGTGCTGCTCATACCACTGGAGGTGGGTCTCTGAGGGTTATTAACCTGGTGTTCTTGGAAACCACCGTTGGTGGCGGTGTAGAAGAAAGGATCGGTGGTGGGGCGGTGGTTGTGGTAACAGAAAGGGGAAAGTGGAAAATTGGTTTTGGCCTTGGGTCCACGGAGGGTGCGAGCGGCGGCGTCGTAAGCTCGAGCAGCTTCCTCGGCGGAATCAAAGGTTCCAAGCCACACCCTCGCTTTCTTCAACGGATCTCTGATCTCCGCCGCGAACCTCCCCCATGGTCTCTTCCTCACTCCACGGTACCGAGGCTCTTTTAATATCGTCCTCGGCACGGATCCGTTCAGCTCCTTCTTCTCCGCCGCCGCCGCTCCTCCTCTGCCCCTCCTCATGGCTGCCGAACCAATCTAATCAAAAGGGTGTTCGGGAAATGAATGGAAAAAAGAGGAACCCAGATTTACCCAAAAAGAAAAGATGCAATCTTGTACCTCAAAGAGACATCTCAGAGTGTGCAGTATTAATGGGTTTTTCACAGAGCATGGATATTGGGGATAAGATGAGGACACAGATGAAAGAATAATGAAGGTGGGAGAGAGAGAGAGAGACAGAAATAGAGAGAGAGAGAGAGAGTTCTCTTCTTCTTCTTCTTCTCCTTCTCCTCCTTCAGCTGGACACAGAAATATATTAATAATAAAATGGTTGTGAAGCGTGTTAGCTTCTTTCTTCTATGTGAATTTCTCTGGCTCTGTCTGTCTCAAATGCCATTTCTTTTCTTTTTTTTCTTTTTTTTTTTTAATTTTTTTTTTTCCTTTCTTTCTCGATTCCTTACCTTACCTTTCTGGCATCCTTCTTCGACTGACCTCTTTGTCTTGCTTTCTTTATCCCCTTCTTTATTATTTTGTTCCTCTCTTCAAATATGTACGGTCTGTGTCACTCAGTTCTGCTTTTTTTTAAATATTTTGTAAAATAATTACGAAAATAAGTGTTTTTTTTAAGTTAAAAAAAAATTGATAAATTCTTTAAATTTGATTTTAAAAATAATAAAACAGTTATATAGTTTTCTAAAAAGAATTATAAAACAAATTTTATTAAACCGGGTGTTTTATTTTTTTTCAAAAACCAAAAAATCATTTTTAAATGTATCTTTTTTATAATTATTTGTTATTTATTTTTCCTTTTTAGTAGGAGTGTTCGCGGTCTGGATTGAATCAGTTTTGGAAACAAAAATTATCCGATCTAATCCCTTCGGTTTGATCGTATAATCATCCATTCGGTTTTCAAATCCGATCCAATCCAATCCAATTTTTTTTCGTTTTGGATTTGATTGTTTTCGGTTTTTTAAAAATCCTGAAATTTATTTCATGATTATTGTGCAAATAACATCTTTTGTATATATTGGCTTTGTAATTTTTTTCTTTTGAAATACAGAAACATTCGTAAACTATAATATAATTTTTTTTTAGTAATGAGATATGAAGCTCTACAAAGATAAAATTTTGTTGATGAGATGTGAATAGATTTTTTTCTTTGGTTTAGTTAATTGGTTAATTGGTCTTAGGTTTAAAATTTTTTGGACTATGATTGAGAAAAGACCCAAGTAGGTAGAGGGGAATCAATATATTGGATCAGTTTGGATTGGATCGGTTTTTATCAACCCATTCAAAAATCGATCCAATCCGATTAAAATTTGAGGTTTTTTTTTTCGATTTTCAATTTATTCGATGATCGATTTTTCGATTCGGTCAACGATTTGTATCGATTTGAACCGGTTGATGAACACCTTTACTTTTTAGTAAACGAGTTAATACTTTAGTTTGATTCTTTTAAAAAAAATAAACGTAACGGTTAAAATTAGAATATCATAATTTATGTTCAAATTTGCCTTGGACACGAAAACCAAATCCGTTTGTGTAATGGCGAGAAGGCCCTCGCAGTTTCTAGGGGGTAAACTTGCAATGCGTTGGTTGGTGTACTTTTCATTTGGTGAGGTCTCTTTCATGATATCTTATCTCTCTCTTTATTTTTTTATTTTTATTTTTTTTCTGCTTACTTTTTTCAGTGGGCAGTGGGCACACACAGAATGGTAAAATGCTCAGATGATCTTGTCTGTATATTAAATCGTAATAAATAAATTTTCCTAACCTGTGAAGCAATATATTTCGATTTTTGGACAGATATTACGACAATTTCTACTAATTAATAAATTTTCCTTTTTCCAAAAAAAGAAAGATCGTATTCTTATTCATTCATTTCAATTATGTCGGCTGAGGGAGAACGACGCACCCGATTGAGCCATGCGTGAGTGTTATTCAAAGCCGGCCAAAATATTCTTTTTTTCTATTTGCAATTTTCAATAGGAATTTTTTTTTTTTTTTTGTAAGCATTTTCAATAACTTTACTGATTGGTGGTGTGAACCAACTTTCTATTTTATTTTTAGGGTTCGTTTGTAAGTTATCTGTAATAAGCCTAATACGACGTCGTTTTGAAACAGAAATCATGATATTTTTATAATTTTAATTTATTTTAGGACTATAATAGTCTTTGTATTTATAATTTTTTAAGATTTCAATCTCAAAATGACGTCATTTTGAGAATAAATACAAATAACTTATGTACATTAATTGCAGAAACATTTTTTCCTTATTTTTTATTAAAAAAAACAGCAGTGTTACTAGCGTGTGAACCATAGCTGTTTTTTACGTTCTAACACTGTAATATCCTTATTAATTATTTGTACGAATTAAACCTACCATATCATGACTTGTAAAAAAATAGTCAAAAAAACAAAAAACAAAACAGACATGTAAGTTTTTAAATAGGTATTAATGACCTCCATTTTGGATTCAAAACATTTAAGATTTCCCAATTAAGAGATTGGAATATTTTAGGATTATATTTTTTTAAAATTGTAAAAATGCTTATTGAATCTATAATTGATTGTAAAAATGTTAATATTTTGATGTGATGTATAAGCTCTGATAATATAAACTTGTATTATATGTTATGACATTTTTAATTATTTGGTGTGAACATCGTATAGTACAAGATTATATTGAAGAATCACTTAATACATAAAAATGATGTATAACTTAATCATGTCTAAGAAGATGAGATTATACTTGATAAGGGATTAATGTATTAGCATTGTTGACAAGTGGAATTCTCAAGAATTAATATATTATTTTAATATTAATATATTAAAATAAAAAATAATATTTCAATATATTAATTTTTAAAATATTGGAAGTTTTTATTTTTATAAAAATTAATATTTTTTGAACAAACTAATCCATAGATTTATATAAAAATTAATATCATATGACATATTAGGAAAAACTATATAAATTATTTATTAAATGATATTTTGTCAAAAATATTTATTTTTATTCTATCTAGTATTATACAGTGCATTACCAAACACTGGATGATATTATCTTATACAATACGTTATCTTATAAAATATAATGTCAAATGCTGGATAATATTAAAATTTAATCAGATCTTATACAATCAAATCTTGTATTATAAAATCTTATAATATTAGGTCTTATCATTTATTATGCATCAAAACCTGCTTTAAGCAACATAATAGCTTACAAAACATGTTTTACATAATTAATGCTTAATGTTCTAGTTTTCTCTTCTTCTTTTTCAAGAATCAAAGAATAAAAACAGTGTCCTTTTATTGTATTCATCTAATGTTTATAAATTTAGAAAATTAAAGAGTTCTTATGTTTTGTGTTCAAAAGTTGTCCAAAAATATTAACCAGGCTAAAATTTTAAAATGTAAGCATTGTTAAACAACACATTGTGTTTTCTAATGTTGTCATAAATTTCGGTGTCTTAATTGATCTATTTTAATTTTGTAAGAGGAACTTAGTAAAAGAAAACATTCAATAGTGTATAAGATCAAAGTAATGATCTATTTCAATTTGGTCTAGATGAATTTTGATTTATGCATAATTCAAGAAAAAATGGACTATTATATGTACACAACATATATATAAAGACAGACAATAAGTCAATTATCAAAGAAAGAAGATTTGAAAGGAAAAGACAAGCAGAAAAAAGAAAGAGAATAATGCAAGTTGATATGCTCACTCATTTCACGTGACCCCATTAATTTTATTTTCTTTGCATTTTTGGTTCCTTTGTATTCCCTCCAAGGTATGCTTGAACCTGGCTTCTAATAATGCAAATGCTCCTCCCCCCAATCCGTGTCCGGTGTCTCTATGGCTAAACCCTTCCATGCCCTCTCCTAAAAATTAAAAAGAAAATTAGTATATCATGTCATCAATTTCCGTGTATTTCCAAAAATAGCCACGTTTTATGACCGCATCGTTCCATTGACCAACTTATTATATACATAGTTGTAATTTTGAAATAAAGATGGTGGTAACTGGTAACCTCAGTGATTACCAATTTTGTCCCATAAAATTATTATTTAGTTTTATATACATATGACCCAGATTGTGTTTGATTATTTCCGTCGAATAAGTAATATGGTGTGAGTACTCTAATTCCATCAAGTATAAATTAGGTGCATTAATGTTACCACTAAATCAATGTTATTTTTTTATTTTTTATTCTGTAATACATCAATGTTATTTTTTGGTTATGATATTTTTGTGATTATATTCATTCCACACTTTTATATTAATTTAATTTGACCAATGACTAACTGATTAAATTAATAAATCATTAACTTAATATCCCAATCGAACATCAATAGGGAGTTAATAACACTAATTAGACATTAATTTATATATTGAACAGAGAGAATGATCCGTTTACAAATTTTTTTTTACAAATTTTTGCAAATTATACTATGTACTTTCAGAAATACATAATATAATCTAGTTACTTTCGAGAATACATAATGTAGTTTTTAAATAAAAAATTTGTAAACATAACCCTTCCAATTGAGCAAAATTGATTATGTACAACGAAGTAGCTTGTTTGCTATATTGACTAAACTTAAATTAAAGGCCAATAATGGCTGATCTGAGATCATTTCAAATTGAAGTTTTTTTTTAAGAAGTGTAACATCTTGCTGCCGTTTTCTATAATATATCAATCAAACAGATCCTTATAACCAAGACGGGTGTTTGGCACGGGGAATATTTTTTTAGATTTGTGGAAAAGTGATGGTAATAATCCTATTTACTTATATTTGCTATAAGATTTTTGAATTTTTTTTTTGAAAATCTGATTTTGTCGAAATTTTGTTTGTGTACAATTTTCTTTCAAAATGCTATCCAAGAATACCACCAAAATGGTGATATTTTTGGAATTTCACGTTTTGATAATATTCCCATGAAAGTAATTTTTCCATCATATTCTTGAAAATCATTATTCTCGTGCACAGAAAAAATTTATACTTTACCAAACACCCAAAAAAAAAGGAAAACACAAGGATATGACACTTTATCCTTTTATTTTTTATTTTGGTGTCCAAGACGACTTTATCCTTATTCATGTTGTTAAAATCAAATAAGAAAACAATTACGGGGTGTTAACGGGCCGGGCCGAGCCGAGTCAAGCTTTGTCTTAAAAAGCTAAGCCTGTGTTTAAATGTGTCAGCCTGACCAAACCTGTTGCCTGTTATGAATATAATTTCAGCCTGTGACCTGTCTTATTTACAAAAAATAAAAGCCTGATTTAGCCTGTTTAAAACAAAATAAGACAACAAAAATTTATCTAAATAAAATATACAGTCAACAGCACTAGTAATTTCAAAAATATTCATAAATTTAATGTATATCCAAACAGCATAATATAAAGCAAAATCATTCAAAAAGTCTGTTTAATTAATAAAATGGGATGAAATGGATTGAAGAGAGAGAGGGCTATCACAAGTAGTAT